GTCGCACGCAAAGAGTTAATCACCAATTTTTTTGCACGCTAGTTCTGAACCTGCTTCCCAATTTTATGGAACCACTTATTGAACGTAAAGCGCAAAGGGCAACGATAGTAGTCTGGAGTCCGGACGCCTTAAAATTCTTTTGTGATTCCAAACGAAAGGAAAAGAACCAGTACAAGATCACCCACTTCGGGGTTTTTTCTGACCTTCAAGTTCCCTTCCGACATCAAAAAAAATCACCAAACTAACCGGTAACTGCCGCACATCTAACAGGAACCCGTTATAACTCCATCCTCCGAATTTTAGTGAGCATGACTGAGAATCGTACGGAAAGTACTCGATATTGATTGGACAGAATGACTTGTAGATACTTGGAGGCTTCCATACGATCAATCCATTGTGATATACCAACGCGTCACTCATAATCGTGATATGCGGTTCACCATCAGCACTGAAAGAAAGTGTACAGTTACTCTACTGTAATGTACAGTAATACATAGTCTCATTGTATACTTGCTCCGTCCGGATAGGAAGCCACCGTAATCGCTGTACTTTAAAAAGCGCAATTTAATAAACCGGAATAGTAAAGCAGTCCATCTTGAAGGAGTATGCCCTAGCAGGGCCATATGCGCGTCGCTCACGCCGTTACACGCCCACACTCTCGCCGTCTGACTCTGGCCGTTTAGCAGAGAGAGCGTTAGCGTTGAAGAGGGCAGCACCGATGAGAGTCGCATCAATGCGGAAATCAACGGGCAAGGAAGGGTCCCATTTCTCGGGTTCTGGCCGTTTCTCATGGTTTTTCTTCATTTCTGTACCACTGACCACCTCTACTTCATTTCTAGGAGCTGGCTTTCCATCGTGAACCTCGCCATTAACTGCGACAGCTAAGGTGGCTGGACTATGGGTCAAGGTGTGCCATGTGTCGAAGTGGCACACATGTGTTCGGCTACTCCCCTCCCTCCCCCCTTGCATCCCTTGGCGAATTTGAGCCATTTTCCAATAGTCGACGGTGTAGTGCCGTTGAACTTGGTACATATGTCCCTCACTGATTTCGCCCTCAAAGCGCTCAAGTCCGAAAGTGTCTCTAGCGGGACGGGGATAGATCTAGCCGTAAAACCGCGGATTCCCCCCCCCCCGCTGGACCCGATTGACTACTTCTACTGTAGTATACAGCCTACGAACTTCTTAAATCCTTAGTGCAACCTTCTTTCTCCAATCGAAGTCAGCAAAGGCGACTTGCCGAGAGGTATCCATGAGGGAGATTCACCTCAGGTGGAGTCGACATGCCCTCTCATCCCAGCAAATCATAATAAAGTTCCACATTCCGCATCTAGCAACTATCGGTTTATAGTGCCTCAGAGAAGAGCTTTTAGCAGAAAAGATCGGATTTCATCCTGATTGACCCCGTTGTTTCTATTTACCTTTTTTTGCTTTATCAGAGATGAGAGGTCTACAGTGCGAATCGAATCTGTTCGCACCGAGCGATCACACTTGACATTTCGACAGACAAACCTGATCTCGAAGGACACAAAAGAAAGCGACCACGTTAAGAACATTAAGGGCAGTGATTTCCATTCAGCAGATTACACCAGGACAGTCACTTGAGAAATAGAGTTGTTTTTGCTGTGATGGGATTTAGGGTGGTTTTTTGAGGTGATTATAGGTCCAGGTAATCTTCAGATTCCCAGATCCT